CGCTGAGGGTGTTGATAAGACCGATGCGAGGTCGAAACTGCAGTCCACCCAGGATGAGAACAACTTTTGGTCAAGCAAGGCTATGTGAAATTCAATGGAAACGTCAGCTCAACACATATCATTGTGGGAAAATTCTACTACAAGACCTTCATCACCTTAGACGAAATAGGGTGAATACATCTTATTCATATTCGACCTATCCATACCAAAAACAAAAAAAGCTTGAAGAACAAACAAGAACGGAACAAACAATAATATTAACGCTGTTTGAGGTAAGACAGCACTAACAAAGTGATCGTTTTGTAGATGAACCAAAACAAACATTAAAATTATATACACACTACCCACATAAATTAGGGAAAATCAACTGCTATTGCACACTAAATACATCAAGATAGACGTAATAATAGAATTTAGTAACAAAAACAAACAATCATGATTATTTAAACCACCTTTATTTTTGCAAAATAATGTTCTGAAGCTTACGATTAATGGATTAAAATAAACCAAGAAATAAACAATAAGCCATGTTAAATCTACAAAATGCCAATAAAAACACAAAAAATAAACAAAACGTAAATTAAAAACATGTGTTTGACTGCTTGCTAGCAGGTTAGGACGATTGGGGAGTATGCCTTATTACAAAACTTCTTTCATAGGATAGCCGGAATGATGTAGACTCAAAAAATGAAGAGGTAAAATATGATGATCAGAGTTTAGTTAGGTTCCAGATGTGAACTTGACTATTTTCTTGGCTGCATGAGATGCGTGGGCTTGGTTTTTTCTCTCATTAATATGGACTTAGTTGGCGTATTCAGTATAGTTGGAATGTATTAAGAATCGTAAAGTATTGAGGGTTAAGTCGGTCTGTCCTTACCATCACATGATGTTCATTTATTAGCAGAATAAAATGTGTATTGTCTCTGGAGATTACGATAAAGGGGTCATTGTATGATGCTCTTAAAAGTGGCAATACTCGGTAGTTTCTTACGTAGACGTATTTGCAAGCCATGATGTCTTTAGGCCTTGCTGATCGGCAGCAAGTCAGCTTGTAAGGGATGCTGCGTAGTTTTTATGACCTTATCAGCAGACGGTAGGCTAATGTTGGTAGGAGCAATTGAATCATTAAGTACTCGTAGTTGGTGTCGGTAAAGCATTCCTGCTGGAATGAAGTTAGTGTCTGACTTGATGATGATTTATAACCTCAGCACGACTGAAGGAAAATCGTAGGCCCATTTATCCTGATTCCTTTGTCTTCACAGAAAGGCTTTTAGTTGATGAGTTAAACATTCTACCAAACAGTTAACGTGTATGGTAGGTGCAGGTGTAAATGCTTTGCATTCCTATTCATTTAAATTGCTCGAGGAAAAGGTATCTTGCTCAAACTGTTTGTCTTTGTCCGTTCTGATGGTTGCAGGTGGTAAACCTGAAAACCCAGTTAGTGATGTAGGTTTTGGCAGCTGTATCTGTCTGTATTTATGGAGTGTTAGGGGGATCTTCATTTCGTATGAAAGTGCATGAAGAAGAGATTCCTTGGACGATCTCACCAGATGAGGACGAATCAACCTCGTTGTACTGGAGCCGTTGGGTTTGTATATGATATTCATGTTGATGCAGCCCTTAGAAACTGAAAGAATGCCCAGCAAATCTATGTGGATATGGTTGAAATTCTCCGAAACTGGCACGAAACCGCCATAGGAGTCTTGGTGTTTCTGTGTAGCATGCTCTCTGGACACAAAATCGTTGATATCTGCTGGTATCCTCGGCCAGACAAAAGTATCTAGGATAAGTTTATTGAAAGCTTGTATGCCTTGCTGTGGAAACTCGTGTATGGCCTAAAACAACTTTTCCCTCCCTGAAAATGGGACTAAAGGTCTATGTCTACATGTCACTCTGAATATACTCCATGGCTGTGTAATTGACGCCCACTATTTCACAGAACGTAATAAGTTTATAGCAGGACATGGAATCTGTGACAACATTGTCCGCATACTTTTTGTAGCGCACGTAAGTGGTGAACTGTAAAATTCAATTCAGATAGTGGAGCACGCGTGGTTAGTACTTGGCTAAAGTGTTTGGGTAAGAACTGCAAAGTGGTTTGTGGTCCGTGAGGATAATAAATGGCCTACCTTTGAGCATGTGCTTAAAATACTTTTTCGCAGAGTGCACAGAAAAAAGTTTGCGGCTAAAAGCTCTATACCGAGACTAAGGTACACTTAGCGTAAAGAAAACGAAGAAGGCTACGGTGCTCCATCGGCAACAAGATATATGGCTCGGCCTAACGTCTTTTCTGATGCATATGGTACTAGAAGCAGCACTGCCAGGGATTTGGAGGCGCTAATAACGTGACGTTTCCCATCGCTATCTTTGCTAGCTTAAAGCAATCTACTTGCTTAGTCTTTAAAACTTCCTTTAGTGGACTCGAGATGTAAGCACTATTGGGTATGAACCGACATAAAAACTCATCATTATGAGGAAAACACATAAGGATTGAACAGTACAATGCAAAAGAAACTTGTTGATGCATTTTACTTTCTCTTGACAGGGAAGTCATCCGCCCTGATCAATGTGGCGACCGAAATAGCATATTTTAAGGCGCTAACAATGCACTTCACAGGAGCTACTAAGAAATTATAGTAAATTAGTTTCTTAACCAAATTCGTTGGATGCTGTTACTGTTGTGCAATATCACTGCTAGCCAAAAGAATGTCGTCTATATAAATGAATACACTATCTAAGCCTCGGGTTACCTCACCCATCAGGCATTAGGAAGCTTGTGCAGCCTTTCTGAGGCATCGTCAGTAAGTATCGCCATTCCTAGCACCATACAACCACTCGTCAGAGACAAGTGAAGTTGATTCTTTGACCATACGTGGGATAATCAATTGTGGTATCTCCCCTTCTGCCCTAGGATATTCGCGTTTCCTGTATCATCCTAGCATACCTTTACTATTACAATTTTTATCGTGTTTATTTAGATATACTGTGGTGTGCTTCTTTGAGCGACATGACACCTTTACACTCCAACTGTTGTACTCTACCCCACCCTTCATCCTTGTGCAGGAAATATTAATCAGAATCTGCTTTATTATTATGCAGTCCTCTTCCTAGTCTTATCTAAATCTCTCTCTTACTCCGTAAAATCCGTCTGCTCTACCCCTTGTACACCTATTTAACTCGACTCCCGCCACCACATCTGTCCTACTCGAGGCGTTATTTGCTCTACCCTGCGTCTGGGTGACTTATACGAGGTGCAAACCTCTAAGTGTAAAGGTCACCCCTTTGCTTAATGGACCACGTCTCTAGTGCAACAGACTTATCGTCAGCCAATTAGCTCCAGTCCCCGCCGTATCTAACCTGTTTCTATCCCTAATACCAAGTCTATGACATGCCATGCACTAGTCTCTTCTGTGCCAACCCACAAATGTCGTGGATCTACATGTCTTGAAAAGGCTCACTGAAGATGTCTCCTCTTTGCTTCTGATTCTTCCTTTTTTTATCCCCTTGCGATCTCTTTTCCTAAAATTAAGGAAATTACCTTGATATAGTTGTCTTATTTTTGCTGATCTCCGAGTTTGTTTAGGCAATATGCAAAGTTTTCGCTGATCTAACCTCCTTAAAGTCTCCTGTTCATTAGAATACTCGTAGTCAGTATATCAATGGCCTCTCTGATCTTGCGTTTTCACGTATTTTCACCACGTGCAGCCAACCTTTCGGTTGATTTCCAGTCGCTTTTGTGCCTCGTCCGCGCAATTTATTTCGCTATTTCTGATATTTGTGTATATCCAGTTTCCTGCAGAGTATTTGATATTCCTTAATTCATGGTCCGACTTTTCTTCATGTTTCACCGAAATACTTCTGCTCCCAGTTGCCGCATTTGATGCGATAAAGACACGAACACTCAAGTTTATCCGTCTTCTCGTGTTGCGTTGGCAGACCGGCGAAAAGTGTTTTCTTCTCCTTTGTTATCACCTTGATATTCTATTTTCTTAATAATGGTCGCAATTGTTGGCTCAGTTGTGATGAAGGCATCCAAATCCACTATTGGTTGTTATCCTGATTCCTGATCTAATTTTCATAAGGTCCAAGTAGAAATCGGCCCTTCCTCACCTCTACATTTTTTATATAATTTCTCTGGGTTATCCGTTACTAAGGTCAATCTGTGTCAGTTTGTCCAACTCCTCGTCCCATAACTCTTTTTTCGTTAGTGGAAGGCTTCAAATAAGCAAACTTCTCAGTATTTCGATCTTCAGTCTGTAGTTTTGATGAGACTTGAAATGAAGGATTATCCCAGTATACGAATTATCTCTGTATAGTTTTCTCATGAATGTCCCTCTGGAGCGTATGACATCAATATCCAGAAAGGGTACTAAGAATGGCGAGACCCACTGACGATGCCGACTAACACAATGGCGAAAAGTCTGGGAATGTACCGCATCCACGGTCTGACTTTGGAAATTATCATGCATACAATGGACTCCGGACTAGGTGTGTTCCTCTAAGTCCTCCTACCAATATGACCGAGTTTCGAAAACAAGGTCAAACAACTTCTATACAACGAAAGGAAACTGCGACCACATAAAAGGCCACACCATCTTGGTCTTCATACCTTCGATTAACATATGGAAGTAATATTGCCAAACAATGCACTGATAAAAGCCGGACAAAGAAGACAATTGTAAGTTAATCCTGCCATTTGGCCTTTTATATTGTTGCAAACATTATGGTATCGCTTCCCGCTTCTGCAATCTAATGAGGAAGTGTCATTCGGATACAGTTAATAAAATACTTTATCACGCCTCCATTCAGAAATTAGAGGAAATTACGAGACTGAGAGGTTTAAGCTATTTAAGTTCATAGATCTCAAGTCTAGATTATGAAAGGATTTACGTAGGTTTCTTGCTTTGGATGATTTTCAAAAAGTCTAGAGCATGACCGACCAAAAATCACAGAGGGTCCAGAATTTGATAATTAATCGAGATGACAAGAAATTGCTTAGCTATAGGATAATAAGACAACACAAGACCAAGCCAACCTGGGCAAATTGTGATGGTTCTCTATTAAAGGCATCAATTGATACAGTCGACGATAGGACTAAGGTAGTCAACCTATCTGCAATCCCTATTGATTATAAAACTACGGATATCATATAGAAGTGGTTACATTTTTCACCAGACAATGAAGGAAACGATCCTAAGGATATCTTGGTGTGAGTTGTCAACATAATGGATAATTATCCAGAAGATATAAGGCAGAGATGGAAATGAAAATAATCCCACGAATCCTGACAGATC